CAGCCCATGCAGGCAGAACAGCGCTGGGGAGTGGAGGCTGGGAGARCCTTCCAAGGYTGGATGGGATTTGGAGCAGCCTGGGACAGTGGAAGGTGTCCCTGCCCATGGCAGGGGTGGCACTGGATGGGTTTTAAGGCTCCTTCCAGCCCAAARCARTCTGGGATTGTGTGATTCTGACCCTGCAATGCTGTGTGAGGTCAGGACAGGTCACARTCTGTGTCCCCCCACACCCAGCTGGCTGTGACAATCGGATTTGGCTGCTCTGAGGTGGCTCAGAGGAGGGCAGGGGCTGTGCTAGGAATGGGACTGCTGAGGAAGCCGAGCTTGCAGGGCCAGACCTCCAGCAGCTTTGGGACTCACTGGGCACTTCCAGCCCCGTCTGCAAGGGGACAGACCTCAGAGGTGTTGCCTTCCCATAGTTTGTGGGAGCTGGGAATAAGCAGGATCACCCCAGGCCATGCACAGAAGGGGTTCTTGGGCTGGGCTGGCCAGGRAGCTGCACATGGCTCTGTCCCCAGCCCTGGGACACTCACAGGGACTGTCCCTGCCACCTCTGCCATGGCTGGAGGCACAGAGTGACAGAATGTCCTGAGTGGGAAGGGACCCACAGRGATCATGGATCCARCCCCTGKCCCTGCMCAGACCCCCCAACAATCCCACCCTGTGCATCYCTGGYAGCGCTGTCCAAACGCTCCTGGAGCTGTGGCAGCCTCGGGGYYGGGACCATTCCCTGGGGAGCCTGGGCAGTGCCAGCACCCTCTGGGGACAGAAGAACCTTTCCCTGATCTCCAGCCTGACCCTGCYCTGGCACAGCTCCAGCCRTTCCCTGGTCCTGTCCCTGTCACAGAGAGCAGAGGTTGGAGCTGCCCCTCAGGAGGAGCTGCAGCCCCCACTGAGCTCTGCTCTTCAGTTTCTCCAGCTGAACAAACGCACTGCCCTCAGCTGCTCCTCAGCTCCTTGTCCATCCTCATGTCCCTCCTTTGGACACTCTCCAGCTTTAGATCCTTCTGATATTGTGAGAATATCAGAATAACTGCCCCAGGACTCAAGGCCACACCAGAGCAGAGTSTCAATCTGAGTCTTTGCCTTGGCAGGGCAGGTGGTAACAGGAGGCCTCCTGGGCTGAGAAAAGTCTTTCCCAAAGGAAAAGGACCCCAGTGGGTGCCAGGAAGGCTGAGGACCTTTCTATTAACACCAGCTTCCTTTGCTCAGGGCTCCCAGAAAGGAGCAGAGTAGAATGAGCAGCTGCTGCAGGAGGAGGGAGGGGAGGCAGGGCCGTGTGCCCAGGAGGGGAGCTGGCTCGGGGCAGGAGGCTGCTGGAGCAGGGGCAGGTGAGCATTGAGCTGTCCAGCTTTTAATCTCATTGAGCAGCTCTGCCAGGGACACTGAACCCTGCAGGGACTGTTCCCTCTGCCTGTTTCCATTTCGTTTGCTGTGGGTTTGTCTYTGCTTCAAAGGGCACAGGAGCAGCAGCAAGCAGAGTCTCTCTCCAAGCAGCCTTTGAGGGTGGGGGAGGTGGAGCCCCAGGCACCCRAGGGGCATCCAGCACTGAACACCTGCCCCTGAATGTGCTTCCCGAGCTTTTCCCAGCCAGAGGAATGCTCCAAACCTCGCTCCATGGACACAGGAAGATTGTCTCTGGATGGGAAGGATGGATACGGTTCAGAGAGGTTTGTTTTGGGGTGCTGAGGCTTGTTCCACCACTMTCATTKCTCTGACTGATGCCAACGCCACACYTCAGACTTTGTGTTTTAATTCTGAACACGAGTGCTCCTRGAGCTGGGACTGTCCGTGTGTCCATCTCCACAGTGGCATCCAAGGCTGCCTGGGGGCCTTGCCCACCTCTGCTAGTAGTCCTGGGATTCGATTCGGTGGAGGCTCTCTGATGTCAGGGAGTCAAAAAGGCAGCAGAGCAGCTCCTGGGCCTGGGGAGGAAACAAGGAAAGGGTTGGGGGAGAGCTGTGAGTTCTGTGCGTGGCAAAAGAACTCCTTTCCAGAGGCAGGTTTCTCGTGCAGAGGCTGTTTCCAGGCTGGGTGAATCCCAGCACTGAGTGGCTCTGAGTGTCCCACAGCAGGGGACACTGCTCACTGTGSTGCTCAGGAGTTTTCCTTCCAAGGAATGAGGTGCTGAGTGGGAAACCTCCTCCCTCCCGAGCTGCTCTGCCTGTCCTTCCCAGCCCAGCCCTGGAGCAGYCCTGGCACGGCTCTTTCCAAGCTGGGGAGGCCGATGTGGTGCCAAGGGCTGCAGCCCTGCAGTGCTGACTGTACCAATGAGCACCACGGCCCCAAAGCACTGGGGAGGCTGTGCTGCCGCCCACCCCCACAGACCCGGGTCCTCCTGCCAGCCCCGCCTTTCCTCACAGCTTTTTAGCCTCTTTTTTGGGACTYCAGCCCTCCTGCCTGCTGCTGAGGGGCAGAGGATGATGCCAGCAGGGGCTGGGAGGTGTTTTCCCTGTGCTGCTCTGCCCCTTCCCGGCAGGGAGGGGGATGCCGGAGCAGCCGCGGTGGCTCCAGGCAGAGCAGAGGGATCAGCGCTGCCAGGGGAGGTTGGGCTGCTCCCCGGGGGCTCTTGCTGAGGGACAGAGACTGTGTCACCCCCTGTGCTGATGGCTGATGGTGGCAGGTCAGTGATGGCACCGAGGGACCACCTCGTCCTCACAGCCACAGTCCCAGCTGCAGGTCTGTGCCCAGCCCCAGGACATCCCACAGTCCCCAGGCTGAGCACAGCATTACCTGACCATTCCCTGATCACTGGGACATCCCAGTTTGGGCATGGACCAGCTGCAGGGACATGTGGGACACTCCCATGGGAAGTTCAGCAGCCCTGAATGGCGACACCAACAAACCGTGGCTGTGTCCCTTCCAGCTGTGAGCTGTGCTGAGGGTGCCCTTTGCAGAGTTCCTGAGGAGAACAGGAGCTCCCAAAGCCGGCATTTGTCTGCTCCTAAGGCAGGCCTTGCACCCCGGGCAGGGGAAGGAATGCAGCAGGAGCAGGCAGATRCCCAGCCCAGGCACAGATGTCAGCGCTGCAACATTTGGAAAGCTGATTTCTCATCCTATTGCCTAATCYCAAATCTCCCTGGGAGCGAGGATGATATTCCATTTCACTCCCATGGCCCCACTCCCCCCGGAAAGGCTGCAGCCCTGCTCGAGACCACGAGGATTTGAAAGCCACGTTCGTTTAACCCCCTGAACTTCGCCTGGTACCGCGTTGTCGCTCATTAGCTCTGCCCTGCAAAGCCTGGCTGACATTTCACAAACTCATTAGCGGGAGATCAGAGCTCRCACATCATTCCTGGGGCCATCCTTGGAGGAACAGATTCCCCGGTGCGTTYGCTCCTCAGATCTCCTCTGATTCCTGAGCCCACCCTGAACTTGAGAGGAAAAGGCCTTTGCAAAACCAACAGGAGCAGCGCTGTTTGCGCCCCCGATGGGACGCGCTGCTGTCCCAGGACTGCGCTCCTGCTCCAAACTCGGAGCTCCTGCGAGCAGCCCCTGCTTCCAGAGGGATTGGATTGCACGTCCCAAGCTGCCAGGAGCAGGGAGAAGGGCTGAGCATATTTGCTTTTCCTCCTCTCCAGCACAAAAAGCCCTCTAAGCCTCTCCCTGATAGGCTCGTTCCCCGGCGCCGGCGAGCAGAAGGGATTTTATGTCAGGCGCAGAGATGTAATGTCCTTTCAAAGCAAATCAGGAGACAGCCTGGACTTGCTGCCCTGTCACATTCCTTGGCAACAGCCTGGCACCCTGGCAGCAGGCAGCGCTGGGCTGTGACAGCCCTGCAGCTCCGCAGAGCCGCCCGGGCACTGCAGCGCCGGCAATGCCACCGCGCCTTGGGGAGCGCCGGGAACGGCGGCTCAACCTCTCGGGGGAACTTGGGGTAGTTTTGTCCCTGTTTGAAGGAGGAAYGGACGCTTCAAAGAGGGCTCTGTGCCTTTTAAAGCTCAATCCTTAGAGCGCTGGTGCTGAAGGCAGCAGCTCTGATGTGTTAGATGAGGTTACAAACACATCTCACTCTCCTGCTGGGCTTTTATTGGGATGAAAAAGGGATCCAGAGGAGWGGTTTGTCCAYTTGCTACCATTTCTGACTCTGCACGGTCCTTTCATCCCAGAATCACAGAATGGTTTGGGTTGGGAGGGACCTTAAAGCTCATCTCATCCCACCCCCTGCCCTGGGCAGGGACGCCTCCACCACGACTTCACATCTCCTGATCCCAACTCCTCGGGTTCTGCCCCCTCCATCCAAACCTCTCATTTGTTTTGAACGCAGCTTTGATGATTACAGCTAGAATTTTGAATGTATTTATGCAGTTTATTCCCATTAGCTGCCCACATGTCTGGAGCTCAGTGTTTCCTTTCTTGGGATGAATTGCTGAGAAAATGTTCAGCTAGACCATCCCTGGAATGGCTAATGGCTTCATTCCTCCCCTTCCACTCGGATTTGGGCTTCTGAAACGGAACTTTCAGAACACAGGACATGTGCCAGCTTGGCCTTAGTCCTGAATGGACATTTCCTGTCACTAATTTTTGACAAATATCACAGATATTTGAAATCCYTCCCTGTGAGGGTGGGGAGGCCCTGGCACAGGGTGCCCAGAGAAGCTGTGGCTGCCCCTGGATCCCTGGCAGTGTCCAAGGCCAGGCTGGACAGGGCTTGGAGCAGCCTGGGACAGTGGAAGGTGTCCCTGCCATGGCAGGGGTGGCACTGGATGGGCTTCAAGGTTCCTCTCAACCCAAACCATTYCATGATTCCATTCCACGATTCTGTGATATTTTTCTCAATGTTGATTTCTCACAAAAAGCAACAGAATTTCTACAGAAAATATAGGACTTTTATCAATATCTCCTTGAAATATTTTGATTCAAAATCAAATTTTTTACAGTGTCCYCACTGTAATGTGGGGGCAGTTTGACAGGATTTTGGTCCCATCACGTTCTGGACTCTCAGCCTAACCCAAAGCTCGGGGCTGTCACCACCTCTGACTCATAAATTTMCCATTTTCTTTAAAATTCCAACCACCACTGACAAGTTTCCTTCATCACAGGGGCATAAAGATCACATAACTGTACCACAAACAGCTCTACTTGCCTGATTCTCGTTCTGGGGATAAAGGAGATGCTCTGCAGTGTCCAGGACAGACTGGTTCTGCCAGCAGGCACTGGGGGCACAGAGAAATGGAAGCAGGGTTAGTTTGCCATGGCAGCTGGGAGGGAGGGAGGTGACCCAGCTCTGGGCAGCTCTGAGCTCCGTGCCAGCAGCTCCAGCCACCGGAGCTCAGCTGCTCCTCTTGACACAGCTAAACCCCGGGTCTGACAAAGCTTTGTGTAAATGGCTTTGCACTGTTTGAACACAAACCTTCCCCAAACAGCCCTGACCAGCTGCACAGTGGGGGCTCTGGGGCAGCGGGGAATGCACAGAGATGTGGGCACAGAGCTCTGGGGTAGCAGGAAATGCACACAGATGTGGGCACACAGCTCTGGGACAGTGGGAAATGCACACAGATGTGGGCACACAGCTCTGGGACAAGTGGGAAATGCACACAGATGTGGGCACACAGCTCTGGGCAGCAGGAAATGCTCACAGATGTGGGCACACAGCTCTGGGACAAGTGGGAAATGCACACAGATGTGGGCACACAGCTCTGGGATAGCGGGAAATGCTCACAGATGTGGGCACACAGCTCTGGGATAGCGGGAAATGCACACAGATGTGGGCACAGAGCTCTGGGATAGCGGGAAATGCACACAGATGTGGGCACACAGCTCTGGGATAGCGGGAAATGCACACAAATGTGGGCACACAGCTCTGGGATAGCGGGAAATGCACACAAATGTGGGCACAGAGCTCTGGGGCAGCGGGAAATGCACACAAATGTGGGCACACAGCTCTGGGATAGCGGGAAATGCACACAGATGTGGGCACAGAGCTCTGGGGCAAGGGGAATGCACACAGATGTGGGCACACAGCTCTGGGGCAAGGGGAATGCACACAGATGTGGGCACACAGCTCTGGGCAGTGGGAAATGCACACAGATGTGGGCACACAGCTCTGGGCAGTGGGAAATGCACACAGATGTGGGCACACAGCTCTGGG